TGCTTAAGCCCATATTAATACATGGAAAAAATAGAGCTTAAAGCCTTGCTGACATGATTGGACTAATTGGCGAGTGTTTTACCTCAGTGCAGAGTTGAGTTGCATAAGGTTTCTCGTTCCATCATCCCCTAAGCGTTTTTTTTTTTTTTTTCCCAGCAGCTTATTTTTTAACTGATTCCTGTGCAGCTTGAGGGGGCGGAAATCAGTCTTCATTAGAAGATTTAGCTTTGCTCTAAAGGGCAATGGGTGGAAACACATGGACGGTCACTTCAAATGCTGGCTACTCTTTTCTAGCCACGGTTCCCCTCTTCCACATATTATTGTGGTCAAGTCCTGTTGGAGTAGGACGTGGAAAATCCTTTCCAGTGACCCTGGGGTCTAATGTTGCTGCTTCCGTGGTTGTTCCCATCAGTCTCTGTGGAGCAGATCCCAAAGCCTCTAATGCTAGTTGTCACTTCTCCACTGGCTTGTAAAGAAACCCTAAAGAGCTGCCCTGTCCAGAAAGGGCAGGATTGGAGCTGCCACTCCAATTAAGCAAGGTAGACCATGTGGGGGACTCAGCCTACCCCTGAGGTGCCTTGCAGGCATCGCCACGTTGTTTTACCTTGGATTTTATAGCCTTGGGCCAGCTGGATATTATGCAGGCCTCTAGCCTCAGCACTGTGCTGTACTTCTTTAGAGGTAGCAGGTGGCATCCTGCCTTTTTGTCCTGTTTTGGCTTTGCTTTCTCACAGGCCTGGAGTTCTCTCTTTGTCTCGCAAGCAGATCTTTCCCCTGCGGCACTGGCTGAAGCCCAACTGGGACAAATAGCAACAGCTATTTTAGATTGGCCAGCAATGGCATTTGCCTCCAGATGTCAGTGTGCCCTCTAGCAGCGTGCCCCTTGGCATCATCCAGCACATACGAAAGGACCATAATTACAGTGCGCTAACAGCTGGGCTTTTGTTTTTTTTCAATCGTTTCCCTGTTGAAGATTCATGGTAAAATTGTTTAAATGTACCTCTTTGGCTGTATCCCAGCATGGTGGATTTACTGCCAGCTTTGGAGTACTTTAAACGAAAAGCAAGTAAGGAAGGGGCTTCGGAGCTCTGCTTCTGAGAATTTCTGGACCGCTTGTAGCTTGAAAGGTTTCCAGATACGACCAGTCACTAATAAGCCCTGACTTCCAATTTAGTTACCAGATACTTACTGTTTAGACCAATGGGCAGGTTTCCTACTCAGCCCCTAGTATGGACCTCTTCATTTCTTACCCTAAATTCAGTGTGGCAAGCTGGTTCATGCTAGGATTTGATGTACAGCAGCTGCTAGATGATTCCACTGTTTGACTTGGTAACTTTTTCTTCTGTGAAGAATGTGGGGCTGGTCCAGCAGAAGTGTTGGAGGCTCAGTCCACTAAGGAGTATGCATGGTAGAGGTTTCTTCAGTTACTGCCTCCGGTAATTGCTCCCAGATTTCTCAGCCAAATAATGCTCGGTGCATATCTTAGTGACAACTTTTGTTACCTGCTTTTTTGCCTAATCCTCTGCATATTGTAGGAATGAAGCACTGTAGTGAAAGTGGTGACCCCAGAAATACAGGCCCCAGGAAAAACCTAAGGCATTTATTTCATTGTGTGGTGGTGGGATGTCAAAGACTCAAATAGTTCCTCCTAAAGACAGGCTAAACGGAGCATTTGTACAAATCCTGCCAACTCTTCTTGGCAAGGTCTTACTGTTCTTAACAGCTCCTTGATGGCTGTGACCTTCATCACTGCTCCTCTTCTCATCTTGCATGAATGTGCACCAGCATGTCATTGTAGGGGTGAGTCACAGAACCATCTTTTTTTTTTTTTTTTTTCTTCAGATGTACCAAATAGTACTGACTTGACTGAACTTGACATCTCAGAAAACTAGGCTGTAAAGCAGTTGGGTTGGGGATCCTACAGTTACTCTGCTAATGGGCTGAAAAGGCTAAACGCATACACGAGACTGTGCCTAGTGCTGTAGAGGATTAGCAAACATGTTAAACCAGTGGAGGGGAAAACTGGCTCATTTTTTGGCCTTTCAGCCTTGACAGAGGATCTTTCTCAGTAAATTGGAACTCTGTCAGGCACAAGTGATGTCTCCACCTGCTGTGGACCATGTCTTCGAGATCATGAGAATAAGCTGCAATGCAGGGGCCTTCCCCAGGATTGTTATCAACAACTGTACAACATATCTAGGCACTATTTGTTGTGGAAAGCTTTGAGCTGTTCTACCAGACACCACAGCTTTTTCTCTGTTTTACTTCTAGGTGGGTTATTTCTTCCTTCCTTTTCTGCTCTGAGTTGCATACCTGTAGAATTGATAGCAGTATAGGCTTTCTCCTTTCTAGTCGAGGTGGACACAAATTCAAATTCCCTAAGCTCAGTGACTTCTGTATCTGAACTGGGCACCTTCATCTCCAGTAAGACCTTTCTGCAATTTTGACAGCTCCACAGGTGGTCTTGGGTGTAATGAGTGAGACTGCCACGGCAGCTAATCCTGAAATGCCCAGAAGACCTAAGGATTTAAGGCGGCTACTTAGTTTATTCGCACATGTTTTGAAGAGTTCTTGCACAGTCTTAGCTAAGCAGACTGAAAATAATGAAGATGACTGCCAGCTGAAGGGGCTAGCTGTCGGTGCCAGGACTGAATATCCCCTGTTAGGAAGAAACAAGAAAGCAGTCTGTAGTTTGCAGAGTACATCTAAAACTTTTGGGGTCCTGCTCTGCTGCCTACCTGTGACTGTTGATCTCAAAGAAAATGTTGAGAGATGGCATGCAAAGAATA